AGGAAGAAAACTCAAATCCTTTAGTTGGAAAGTTAGTTTCCAGAGCTGCTACCATTCCAGAGGGACACATTTAAAGGCACTGAAACAGCATACACATTCCTCCCCTGATTCCCCCAAAACTAGGCGCTCATTTCAGGGTTCATAATTAATTATACTTTTCTTCCTTTCTCCATATAGATGATGTGGTTCATTAGTAAGATTGCTCTAATGAGAACTCAGCTTCCTTAGAAGTTAAACCCTCCAATAATGCACTAATCTTCCTGGCTCTGCATTAGGATCGTCCTCCCATATACCGATCTCCTGGGATTCCAGAACCACGAAGTTTCTGTGAGCAAGCCCCAGACCGACTGCTCACTGGCTACTCTGATTATTCAGTGACTGGAAGTCTGTGGGGCAGAGCAGGAGATAGAAACAGTGACCAGTGAGTTCCCGGGGCCAGACAGGCAGCTCCTGTTTGCTGACTCTCTACCAGTCGGCTGCCCCGAACACAGAAACGCACCCAATTCTGGCAGAAAGAGAAAAGCAAGGAAGTACCTACTGGAAAGATCCAGCTCTAAGCAAGGTTTCCAACTGCAAGTCTGACCAATGACTTCAGAGGGGCGGGTGCAGGCGCCAGGGAGGAAGCAGCTGCAGAGGAAGAAGGTCTCAGTGTCCCAGGCAGGCGCCGTCAAGAGTCCCAGCCAGACCACTGCAGCTGCAGCTCTATGGAGCAGAGGCGGTTACGAGGCGCGGGCACAGAAGCTCCAGGCTCTTCAAACTCAGCACCACTACTGGACCTTAAGATGGTACAGGGGGTGGGTGTAGTCAAAATAGAGGCCAGGGGATCTGTGGGCTCCCGTATGCAGGCTCAGGATTACAGGGACCTAGTACACTTGACTTTATGTGGCTCTAGCCAAATGAGGCTGTCCTAGGAAATGAAACTGCATAAGTAAGACATGTCTAAGCAGCTCTGACCTTCACAGACACAACCGGTCAAGATGTGCTTTCAAAGGCCAGGGCAGATTCCTGTCTAACCCACGCTGAAACTGATGCCAGAGCCAAGTGTCACCCTGAAATGCTGCCTGCATCCAGCCCAGTACACTCAGAAAGCACTTCACATCCTCGGTCCCCTTTATTCTCACACTAGCTTAAGGCAGCCAGACAGGGATGAGCACCCCATTGTACAAGCGAAGGAAATGATAGCCAGTCTAAGTCACTTCCCTTGGCTCATGCAGGAGTGAATCTGGATGAAAATGAAAATTCCTGGGGTAGGACTCTGTGTTCTTCCCACTACACTGGATTACATTCCTTACTTTCCTGGGCAGACTCTGGAGCATCTTGCTCAAGAGAGAGATTGAGAGACTTACCAAAGGGCATGGGATGATGTGATGGACAAGGTTATGGAACATCAACAGTAACTTTTCTCAACTGCTAAAAGTTTTTCTGTGTTGACTGAGTACACAGACCAAACCCAGATTTTAAAAATTCAGAAATATATCTTGAACTCTGAGGTTATATATATGAAAAAACATACTGAAAAAACATATTGAAAAGCCTCACTGACAGATTTAAGGTGATCATTGACCATCCTCTACAAATCAGCTAGAGAATGGCTAGAGGCATATGACATTTCATCAGGAAACTGAGTGAAAAACAGCTCTGCATTTAACTAGATCCCATGACTTTCCAGCCATCCACTCTGTCTGTCTAGTTTACCTACGTGAGGAAGATAAGCATTCTCTTTTCCTTCTAAATAAATTCTTCCTTATTCAAGATAAAGAAGTGACAGGCTTACTTCCAGAGCTTCGCCTTTCTGCTAGACCCAACATTCTTCCAGGAATACTGGCCAGTTCCCACCTGACCTCCAGGCTTCATTCAGCAACCCCTCCCAGTGCAGCAGCCAGTCTTCCTGCTTCCACCGCTCCTGTCTGCCTTCTCCTGCAGCAGGTAGCATCACCCTAATTGCTGCCTCTTTGTCTATCTTCCCAATAAGCATCATGAGCTAGATGCTCTACAAAGTTTGTGAAACTGAACTTATCTACAATACTAATAGCTCTAAACAAATGTGCCTTCTACAGATACACCCTTAAGTATTAAGGGAGTACCTCTGCTTTTCCGATAGGCTCCAGGCCTCTCATCAGATTTCAAAAATGAGAAGAATGAGGGAAGGAAATACAAGGCTCCCCACCCCGCCCCCGCCCCAGCAATTTCACTAATCAGCTTGGCTCAGATGCTAAGATCGAAAACCCACAAGAAAACACACACACACACACACACACACACACACACACCCCTAATCAAGTTTCCCCAACTTCTTCAGATCTCTTTCCGGAGAGAAGTAGCACTTCCATTCTCTGGGTCTTGCAGAGATAATCAGACAGACACTGTGCTGACCGCCTATGTCTCCAAAAGGAGGAGAGATTCTCCTGTCTTTTGCGTCTTTCTAACTTACCCAGTACACTATTTAACTCCATGGTCAATCAAGGAGTTGACCAGACCAGGGAATGTTACCCTCCATTTTCCAGATGAGATAACATAGTTTGTTCCCAAGGTTACTAAATTAAAAAAACAAGCAGAGCCCCAACTTCAATCCAGATTTTCTGTCTCCTAATCTAACACCCTCTATTCTAAACCGCACAGACTGAACTGCGCCTGCAGGTAAATGCAGGAGACAAACAAATGCCAGGATGTAAGCTTCAATGTTGATGCTGTCCAAGCAGAAGTGACCTCACGTGGAGGGAAGGTCTTCATGAGAAACCCTAACAACTTTCTCTAGGGGAGTCTGTGCTTCCTTGAGGGAGGGGCACCCCCTCTATGGCCTTGGCCCTTGCCATGTCTGGGATACCACCCCACGCTTATGCTTGATTCAGACATATGTTTTAAGAACAGTAGCAAACTTCATGTAACCACCAAGCCACCCAAAGAATCCCCTGGACTCCACAAGAACTATTCTGGCAGGAATCATTTGACCGCGAGAAGGTTTGATTCCTTTTGTAATTTAGAAACCTCCAACTTCTGCCCTTTCTGCCCCGTGATGGAGAAAAGATGTCCAAGTCAGGAACTAGACAAGAGGGAAAAAGAGATGGAACTATCTTAAAAATGTGCTTTTTATTATTTATTTATTTATTTTTTAGGAGAGGCAACTGATGGTTAACCTCACAGACTGTAAGAACCTCGTCAGCTAAAAATCCCTTATTTTTTTTTTATTTTTTACACCTACAGCACCTGGTCTTCTTAGGTGGTCTCCCATCCAAGTATTAATGAGGCCCGACCATGCTCAGCTTCTGAGATCAGATGGGATCGGGCTTGTTCAGGGTAGCAAGGCTGTAGACTAAGAATGTGCTTTTGATCTAAGAGGTCCCTTAGGCTTTTGCCCTTTGTCCAGGAAGGTCAGCTATTTGTGGTCTGTGTGATTACGCTGGGCTGAGGTGGAGCACCTTGGTTAGCTACACTTGCTGCTGAAACAGAGCCTCCCAGAGCAGACTGTTCTGGCCACCACCATTCTGACGGAACAAGACTTAAGCAGATGGAGAGAAATCATGCGTGTGAGACCTGTGGGTGTAGCAGTCCAGCGAAGAATCAGCTATTCTAAAGATTGACTCTGTAAAGCAGATTAAAATTTCTCAGGGAGGAACTGGTTAATTGTGGGAAGACAGGAGGATGCACTGACACAAGAAAGGCATCAGGGCTATAAGGGAAAATATCACCGCTCCTCATCCCTTCCTTCCTTTAGACCCTTCCAGAAGGCTCTTCATCTTTGATTCAAACACACTTTAGAATCAAGATGTCAATAGACAAATGAAGAAGGGGTATGAACAGGCAATTCAGAAAAGAAATACCAATGGTTAAAACATGAAAAATGTTTAACCCCATGAATTAACCATTAAAGAGATGCTGTATAAACATCAAAATGCCTTGTTCTTTACTTACCCTACATTGTGCCAGTCACTCAAAGTTTATTCCAATACCATTCAATTTAATTCCCCTGTCTATAGCCATGCTACCCTGAACAAGCCCGATCTCGTCTGATCTTGGAAGTTAAGCAGGGTCAGGCCTGGTTAGTACTTGGATGGGTACTGTAGGAATAAAAAAAAATTTTTAAAAAGGGATTGAAATTTGTGAGGTCAACCAAGGGTTGCCTCGCCTAAAAAATAATAAATAAATAAATAGATAGATAGATAAATAAATAAATAAAAATTCCCCTAGTAACCCTATAAAGTCATAGTTATTTCCATTCTCCAAGGACAAAGCAGAGGCTCAGAGCAGTTGACCAGGTACTGATACTATCAACGCCAAGATTCGAATCCAGTTAATGTGCTACTCCTATCCACGGTGCAGCACAGACTCTCTAACAAGTTAGAGAAAAAAATGTTATTAAAGAAAGATCCTCAGTGTGATGAGAAGAGGACACCCTCTCTGCAGAAGATTGCAGCAGAGTCATGGCAGCTGCAGCCAACAGAGTTGATGCACATTCAACACGTGCTAGGGGATGTCCTAGTACACTGCCTGCATGTTCAATGGCACTGGCTTGCCTTGTGCATGTGCACAGGCAACTTCAAAATCAAAGAGAGAAAAATAAAACAGGGAAGTATAAAGATGAAAAAGGTCACAGTGACAGCATAGGGAATAATATAGTGAATAATGTGGTCATAACCATGTATGGTGCCAGGTGGGTACTAGACTTATCGGGAGATCACTTGGTAAGTTATATAAATATCTAACTTCTATACTGTACACCTGAAATTAATATAATATTGAATGTCAACTGTAACTGAAAAAAATTAAAATACATAAAAAATCATCACTATTATGATGTATTCTTGAGAACTAAAAATAAATTATCTGGGGGAAAAAAGTTAGGAAAATCACCATAATACAATCATTTTGATGCTAGTTTCATCTTATCTATTTTGC